ACCTACCATGGGGTCTGGCACACAGCACATTCACTAAATAGTAGATGTTCTCTTAATGGTCCTCTAAAAAAACAGCATATACTAGTGGCCACCATGAGGTTAGGTGGTTGCAGGGTCCCGGGCAGGCCTGTCCGGTGGCTGCTGGTGGTTCTGGCTCTCCTCCCGGGATGTTTGTCGGTAACATCACACCAGGCCTCTTTTGCCCTGACCTGTGTACTCTTCTGGAGACTTGGCCAGCTGTAGGGTGAGAGATAACCTGCTGACCCTACGCCTCAGCTGCCTGTGACAGGAGCCATGCCGGGGCTCGAGTTACAAAGTGTTCTTCCTCATCTCCGCGCAGCCCGTGAAAACGGAAACCATGACCGTCAGCAGCCTGGCCATCAGGAAGAAGATCGAGCCAGAGGCTGTGCTGCAGACCAGAGTCACCACTGTGGACACCCAGGTACCCTGTGCCTTTCAGTGTTCCCCGAGCCACAGGTATTAGGCATTCGGGGTGGGATCAGCACCATGACAAAGCCCCTTGGCCAACCCTGGCCACCTCGGCTCCCCCAGAACCCCCATTTTAGCGCTGATGCTCTTGAGTCCTTTACTGTCCTTCCTGAGCTGTGGGAGTGGGCAGACTACACCACTTAGTGCTTCAACGTCCCCATCCATTACGTGGGATGATCATATCTCTTCTGTGCTCTTCGGGGCGTGGTAGGTCCAGTGGCCAGTGGATTAGGACTGTGGCTTTCAGATTGCTCTAAGGCAGTGATGGCGAACCTTTTGAGCTCGGCATGTCAGCATTTTGAAAAACCCTAACTTAATTCTGGTGCCGTGTCACATAAAAAATTTTTTGATATTTGCAAGCATAGTAAAACAAAGATTTATATTTTTGTTATTTATTTTATATATTTAAATGCCATTTAACAAAGAAAAATCAACCAAAAAAAATGAGTTCGCGTGTCACCTCTGACACGCGTGTCATAGGTTCGCCATCACTGGTCTAAGGAGTTGGAAAGGCTTCTCTTTTTTGTTGCTGTTAATCCTCACCCCAGGATACTTTTCCCCACTGATTTTTAGAGAGAGTGGGATGGAGGAAAGGGGGGGGGGGGAGTGAGAGAGATCTGGGTATCGAACCTGCAACCTCAGTACTTGCCCTTGACTTGAGAGTCAAATCCATGACCCTTCGGTCCATGGCTGATGCTCCAACCACTGAGAAAACTGGCCAGGGCGAGAGGTTTCTTGATGTACCGCAGGGCCTGCTCGGAAAGAGAAGATGTGAGACCCCAAGCCAGCTTCAGTCACAATGGCTCCTGTTGGGTCGTTTTTTTTTATGCACGAGGGTTCCACATAAGATTGGCAAAATGACTAAATGGGAGGGGGGAAGAGACCCCAAATCGTTGTGACCCCCAACTTCATTGTTCCAAATTGAACATAAAGCATAGTGATTAATCACAAAACAATATGTAATTATATATGTGTTTTCCCATGGTCTTAGGCGACACCTGTGAAAGGGTCATTCGACCCCCAAAGGGGTCGTGACCCACAGGTTGAGAACCGCTGTCTTAGTGAGAGGAAACACACTGAGTACCCCAGAGAAGCTGTCATGAATTGATACAGGTGGTTCCGAAGTTCCTTCTGTGGTTTTTAAACTTTCAAAATTGAGATGTGGTTCTTGGTTCTTTCTGGCCAGAGAGCTACTATGCTGAGGGCTTTCTTTCCCTGGAGACCAGTCTTTGTCTTAAGAACTGAAGAACAACGTAAACCAACACAACATGGGGAACGCTGCCATTTCCAGAATTTTCCCTCCCACTTTTATAACACGCATGGGGCTGAAGAGGCTGGTAGTGCAGTGGTCGAGACTCCTGGGTCGGGACTCTTGAGTTCTGACGAGCGGTGACCTCAGGCAACGTGTTCCTCCTCTGGCCTGTTTTGTAACGTGGGTTTTGCTTTCATGCAGAGAAATAAAAAGAAAACAAAATTGGCTCCCAATTCCACAACTCAGTAACCCTTCCTGACATCAAAATGTTCACAGTTATGAAATTCAAACAGAACTAAATGAAATTTTTTCTGATTCCTCCCAGAAAAATATGTATGCATATACCAATGTGTATACTTACATCTCCAGATATTTAAAAATTCTACAGGAAAGAGATTGTTCTGTCTTACACCTTACCTTTTTAACAATCTTCTTGGAGATCGACCTTTGCTGGCATATGTGGACCCACTTTGGTCTTCTTAGTTCCACTCCGAAGGGGACCCTGGTTTTCCACACAGCCTCCCATCGATGGACCTGTGCTTGTTTTCCTCGTCCGCAGTTAACGATGAGTGCTGCGGTGCACTGCCTTGTCTATACTTCTTGGCAAAGTTTTCAAAATTTATATCCCAGTAGTGAATTCCTAGCAATGGGATCACCAGGTCAAAGAATACATGCATTAAAATTTGGATAGAATTGATCAAATTGTCTAGGATTATTTTTCCTTTGTCAATCAAGTAAGATGACTGAAGTGAACTGGAGGCTCTGTGAGGCCCGTCTGTAATTCAGTCTGTGTGCGAACACCCACGTGCCCCTAGCGCACGTTCACTCACACAGCCTGTCACTCTGTCGCTGGGATTGCCGTGAGCCCAGGGGGCAGATGCTGCAGGTGAATCTGGCTTCTCTCTGTGTCCCTCTCTGATGACTCCTTCCTCTGACCACAGGTGGATGGGACTGCCCTAGTGGGGAAGGAATTCATAACCACTGCTCCCTCCATCACCACTGAGACCATATCAACCACCATGGTAAGTAGGACCCAGGAGACTTCTCTCTCTGACCAGCCTTCCTGCCCCAGAAATAGCCAGATAACAAGCTGACACCACCAGCTGCTTCAGGACATCCTCATCTGCCCTCCCTGCTTCAGGTCTGGGACATACAGTCAAACTGTCTGGCACCATAGTTGCCACAGGTCATCTGGTCAGACTCAGTTTTCCAAATGGGATACTATGGGAGGTGCAATTCCTGGGCTCGGTTACCCGGGCCATCTCAGCCCAGCAGCAGCAGTAAAGTTAGGAGGATGGTGCTGTTTGCTTATTGGCAATGCCTGAGGGTTGTGCCTGAAAGTCCAACCAGAGGGCGCATCCTTCTAGCAGCTGCACATTTTCTTCCATCTCCGGCCACTTCCTTGCCTCGGTCAGTAGATGGCGTCCAGTGAACCTAAGTTGGAAGCTCAGGAGTTTAGATTATCTTCCGAGGGAGCCGTGTTTCTGCTCCCTATTTGCTGTCTGGCCCAGGAAGGGAGGTCCTTGGCCTCAGGTGTCCTCATCTGTAAAAATGGGAATAATCCCTATCCTAGCTGGTTCACAGATTCCTGAGAGGGTCCAGCAACATCAGATCCTTCAATGATGACACAGAACCAATAGCACTCAGCACCCAGGTTTTGGTGCCAGGCAGTGATCTCCTTGGTCTTCGCAAAAACTGTGAGGAGGACGCTCTTTCTTTTCTGTGCCCTTTACAGATGAGGAAACCAGAGTTCAGAGAGGTAACATGACTTACCCAGGGTCACAGACCCAGTAAGTGGTGGAGCCAGGGCAAACACAGGCAATTCTGACTCCAGACGCCCTATTGTCCACCTCAACCCCTCTGCTCTGTTCCCTCATCCCGACCATTGTGAACACTGGCCGCATGGGGCTGAGGCTGGGTAGAGACCGGGGCTGGGGCAGGGGCAGGGGCAGGGCCAGGTATCATTGCCTGGGCCAGATCTGTCTTGAGCTGTTGGAAGTTGTTTTCAAGTGTTTTCTATTGCCACCCCCCTGATATACACATAGGAAGAAAATTATATTAATTTAGACTACCTGGAGGTAGGTTTTGAGTGAACAAAGACTTTAAGACAAATAAACTCAAACCAGTTCCAGCTTGCACGCTTTTCCCCGGTCACTCAGTTCCTCCTCTCCCCTCAACCCTTTGCTGCGTGGCATCAGGACGCTTACAGGGCTAAATTTAAATTCATGCTACGGCAAGCAGGCAATTGCATCATTCATTCACTCATCATCCATCCATCCATTCATTTGTTCCAAAAACATTTATTAGCCTATATTTCCTGCCCGGTATAGGGATACAGAGTTGAAGAAAAGATACTACCTGCTAGACTTCATTCCTCCAAAGAATAATCATGGGCGCATTGAATGTGCTGTGCCCTGTGTTGAGGACCTAGGCACACAGTGGTGAACAAGGCCCAGCTCTCCCACTTCCTGGCTGGATGACCTTGGGCAAGTTACCTGAACCTCTTCACACCTCAGTTTCCACTTGTATCAAGTCGGGTGAGGGCTGATAGCACATCCTTCCCAGGATTGGTGTGAGGATGGACTAAGGTTAATCTGTGCAGAGCCCTCAGAAGAGTTTGGCAAGTAGTAAGTGGTCTGTCATGTGAGCAGCTGTTATTTCTTCCTGCCTTCTTGGAACAGTGTCTCCTAGGGGGTACAGGAGAAGAGGTATGGGTGACACCATAGGAGCCGGGGAAGGCTTTATCTGAGTAGTGACATCTGAGCTATGCTTGAAGGATAAATTAAGGTACAATTACAAGAGAAGCCATTCCAGGTAGTGGGAACAGCAGGTGCAAAGGCAAGGATGTGAAGGAGCATAGCATTTAGTCAGTGAAGTGAAATGTCAAGTGTTGAGTGGGGTGGGGTGGGGGGGCGCTGGGAGAGGAGAGGCTGAAAAGGAAGGCTGGGCCAGGGCTTGAAGGGCCTCAAACATCACAGATGAAGTTCAAACTTCATCCTGGACACGATGGAGAATTACTTGAATTTTTTAAGTGGGGACATGATGCCATCAAAATAAGTGTTTGCATTCTAGAATGACCACTCTAACAACCTGTGTGCAACATGACTGGAGTAAACTTCCTTCCCTTGGGGCATGGGTCTTTTTTATTTTTCTCCCTTCCCTCTTTCTCCCCCTCCCTCCTTCCTCCTTCCTCCCACTTCTTTCCTGTCCTCAGCAAATATTTACTGAACACCCACGCCGTGTGAAGTACTGCGCCAGGAGCTGAGAATCCAGCCCTGAAGGAGACAGTGCCCCTGAGTCTATGTGCCATTAAGAGACCAAAAGAGAAGGCAGGGAACTAGTTCAGGGGCTGGTGCAGGGCCAGAGCATGAGGAGGTGGATGCCAAGGAGAGGGATAGGGTTACAAGATACGTGGAGGAGGGAAGTACAGGATTTGGTCATTGGTAGAATGTTTTGGTGACAGGAGGAGAGATGGGCTGGTGATGCTGCTCACTAGCCCAGCTGTTCTGAAAGCTTGGTTCTGGGGACCCATTCGAAAGGCAGCTTCTCGGGCCCCACCCAGACCTATTGATTCAGAAACTGGGGAGAGCCCCAGCGTCTGTGCTTTCACAAGTCCTCCAGGTGACGCCCCTCCAGCCTGAGAAGATGTAAACAGAGCACTGGAGGGAATGCTCTTTGGGGCGAGAGGAGGCAGCGATGAGTCCGTGGGCCCTGTGGGGCATTTCCAAGGAAAATGTCTAGGATGCAGTTGGTTTTAAAGGCCTAGGGCTCAAGAAGGATCTGGGATGCAGATAAAGGGACGGGGGACAGTGGCCTTGATGAGGAAACCTTGAGTGGCTGAGGTGGTCCAGAGAGAGGATGGGAGGAGGAGAGCCCTGCGTCCCTGGGAGGAAGGGTCCAGAGTAGAGATGGTGAGAGAGAAGACAGTCCGAGAACTAGGAAAGGCAGGTGGAGCGGGTGGTTTTTCAAGGACCTGTGTCCCTATTAGTGGCTTCTGTTTTCAGGGTAAAAGTGGAAGCGAGGCTTTGCCTGGAGAAGAGGAAGCAGTGGCACAAGAGGCAGCTTGGGGAGAATGGCCCGAAGGGGCTCAGAGTGGCTACTGGCTGCTTCCTAAGCTGGAGGAAAGGAAGCCTTGAACCTGGAAGGCTGTCCTTCTAAGGCCTGCTTCAAATGCCACCTCTGGGGACTCTATCCGACAAAGGTGGATGGAGTGCCAGGTGACCAGGTCACTGACAGCCTCACCTGGAGGCAGGCTGAGCAGTCAGGGCAAAGACAGACAGAGGGCTCCTTCCTCACGCTCCCCCCGGCAGGCAGAGGCCCGGGTGTGTACCAGGCACAGACCAGGACCAGGTTCAGCCCCTGGGCAGCTGCAGAAGGGTCACATCTCCGGCCCCTGGACAGACAAGGCTGAGCCCTGAGATGGTGCAGAAAGTGCGAGGGAGAGGCAGGCAGCCAGGCCTCTTGCCAGATGTGGGCCAGTAAATCTGGAGCCAGTTCCAGGAATATCTGCCCGTCAGAACCCAGTGTAGGACCAGGAGAGCCGGCTCACGGGTGGGAACTCAGAGGGCAGGGGCGTGTGGAAGGAGCGTGTTGGACTGGAGCCTGACGAACATGGGTCTAAATCCGGGCTCTGTCACTAACTTGCTGGGGAACTTGAACAAGCCACTTAACATTCTCTGGCCCTCCAGTCTCCATCTGTAAAACAGGAATATTAAAATGATTTGTTCTGATGACTAAATGAGACAGTGCATTCTTAGGATAATATCGAGTACATCTCAAGGACTCAGAACACAGTAGTTATTATGATGTTATTAGTAGCCAGCCTATACCGTGTTCACACTGTAGATTTCCATGTGCAAAGCTCTTTCTCCTCTGTTAGCCTCATAATGTCTCTGTGGGAGTAGGGCAGGGGTCCCATTTTAAGAACATATTTTTTAAGACTTTACTTTCAGAGGAGTTTTAGCAGATTCACAACAAAATTGAGCAGAAGGTAAAGAGATTTTCAGAATGCCCACTGCCCCCGCTCACACAGAGCCTCCCCCGTCATCAGCAGAGTCGGGGAGACTAGGGTGGGACATTGGTTGCCACTGATGACCCTACATGGCAGGGCTGCCCTTTTCCAGGTGCAATCATGAGGCCCACAGAGGGGAGGTGGCTCTGCCCCAGGTCACGTGGCTAGAACAAGGCAGGACCAGGGTGAGAACCTGCATGTCTCAGCCCTTTTGTTAGTGCTTCCCGAGAGCAGAACCATGTCTTGTTCACCACAGTGTCCCTCATGCCAGGCACTCCGCAAATATTTGCTGAATGAATGAGTGAGTGAGTGTGTAAGTGTGTGCATGAGTGAGTGGGTGACGAGTGAGAGGAGACTGGGCCAAATGATGCCTTCAGCTCTCTGCCTCTAATGTTAACCCTGTGGCCATGAGAGCTACATGGCCACGTGCTCTGGCTATCCTGGGGGCGACCCACCTGAGATCTGGCCATCTGAGCACTATTGTTTCCCCAGGAGAACAGTCTCAAGTCCGGGAAGGGGGCAGCTGCCATGATCCCAGGCCCACAGACGGTGGCCACGGAAATCCGTTCTCTTTCTCCGGTAAGTGGGCAAGGCCAGCTCAGGCTAGGGGACTCCACTCTGAATATGTGGACCCGGGTCCGCAGGTGGCCTGTAGCAAGTGCAGCGTGGAGCCCAGAAGGCTTCCCTTTCGAATGCAGCACCAGGAAACGATATCATTTTCAGATGCCCACAGGTTCCCTGGTGCCCACCAGAGTCTCGTCCATTGCCCTCCGTTCCTCCCCCGACCCCAAGCAGGGCATTGGCAATGTGGGGGTGAAGTGGTGCCTCCCTTTGGCGGTGCCTGTGATGTGGTAGCTCTTTTGCATCTGCTCTCCTTACTGACCAGGAGGAGCAATGGATTAGGAGTCCAGAGGCTTGACTTCTGGACCTGGCTCTGTCGGTGGCTGCCCTGTGAGCCATGTCTGTCCCTGTGAGGTCTCCTGCAACTCCTGTATTCTCCAGATCTGTCATTCACATCATCTAGCCCACGAGAGAACACACTCCCCGCTCTGGAAGGGTGGGGGATTGAGAGGGGACTCTGTTTCCACCTTGAATCCCTCTGGTCATTCTTCTAAGATGCCAGGATTCTTAAATTCTAGGGTCATGTTAGAATTCTGGGCCTTAGGAATCTCAGGTTCTAGGAATCTTAGATTCCAGGCTTTGAGAATTTTGTGGGTTTAGCACTCTGAAGAGTCCAGTATTCCTGAATTCTTAGATTCAGTGGTTCGTAGCATCTTGGCTTCCCAGCCCACCTTCATGGGATCCCTCCCCAACTTGTCCCTTGGTTTACCCACCCTGCAGCGGCCAGCATCCTCACCTGATCCCGGGCGGGGGGTGGTTATATTCTGCAGATCATCGGGAAAGATGTCCTCACCAGCACCTACGGCGCCACCGCGGAAACCCTCTCCACCTCCACCACCACCCATGTTACTAAAGTGAGTAGCAGCAGGTGCCACAGGGCCCAGCCTGGCTGTGGGGCTTGGGAAGGTCACTGCCACTGTCACGTGGACAGAGAAGACCTGTGGCATTGCCAGTTCCAGGAGAGCCGTGCGCTTGGTCTGTGTTACGGTCTGTCCTGGGCATGGACCTGCTCTTCAACACTGACAGTCAGGCTTGGGGGACGAGACCATCTCCTTGGAAGTCACTGTGGACCATAGCATTTGCATCTTACAGACCTTAAGTGCCGGAGGGATGTAGAGGGGTGATATGAGGAAGGCTCAAAGAGTGAGAAGGATCTTCTGGGGAAAGTGGGGTTTGCGCAGGGTCTTGGAAATCCAGGGAGGACTTGTGAGGGGAGGAGAGGACAGTGGCAGGCGTACTACGCAGTGCAGAAGATGGTAGCAGACACTGCATTTGTTTATTTGTTCACTGAGCAGATTTTACTCTGAGGGGCTAGTGGAGGGTCTGTAAGCAATGCATGTTGTGGGAAACAGGAGTAGTGTTCTCTGGTAGCCAGAAGCAGCATAACCGTGGGAAATTGGGTTGGACTGGGGCCAGAGGAAGCAGAATAGAGACAAATAACACAAATTCCAGGACAACTGTGGCGATGGAGGGCCCTGGTCTGAGAGTTATTGGAAAACCATCAATGTTTCTTAACTGGGGAGTGAGCCAGTGAGAAGGGGTTTAAGGAGAGGTGATTAGATCCACCAGGATGTGCAGGGTGATGGGAGAAAGAAGGGAGTGAGTGATGGAGAGACTAGGGATGGAGGGCCTTGGCCAGGGTGGGAGTCAGAGTGGGAGAAGGAAGAGGAATGGCCAAGAAGGGAGGCGTTCCTGATGCGTCAGCCGTGACTCAGCCAATGAAGACAGGGCTGAAGGCTGGCTGGCACGTTCATGACTGAGTAGCCAGAAGGAGGCAGGAGGGGTCCCAGGCCAGGGATGGAGGCCTGAAGGAGAGATGCCAGGGAGCCAGGTTGAGTTGCAGGTTCTGCTGAGCTATCTGAAGAAGTCTGATAGGTGGCACTGGCCCTCCATACACTGCCCCAGCCCTGCCTCCTCCTCTGTAGGACTCAGCACCTCTGCACAGTCCCCACTCTCACCCACTCTCACCAAAAGCGTTAGTAAGCAACATTTATTTCACTGAAGGCTTTATGGGAAGGTTTTCTATCACACCCCACACCGAATACAGCTCAGAAAACTCTTTTTCCCGAAGTCCTGGCACGTTCATGACTGAGTAGCCAGAAGGAGGCAGGAGGGGTCCCAGGCCAGGGATGGAGGCCTGAAGGAGAGATGCCAGGGAGCCAGGTTGAGTTGCAGGTTCTGCTGAGCTATCTGAAGAAGTCTGATAGGTGGCACTGGCCCTCCATACACTGCCCCAGCCCTGCCTCCTCCTCTGTAGGACTCAGCACCTCTGCACAGTCCCCACTCCACCCACTCTCACCAAAAGCGTTAGTAAGCAACATTTATTTCACTGAAGGCTTTATGGGAAGGTTTTCTATCACACACCCCACCGAATACAGCTCAGAAAACTCTTTTTCCCGAAGTCCCTCCTAGCCCTGCCAACTGGGAGTCCCCTCCCCTCCCCGCTTCTTTCTGCCCACTTCTGACTCCAGCCAGAACTTCTCTCAGCCACCACCCTCCTTGAATATGCCAAGCAATTCTACTTCTAAACTTACGCCCAAACTTGCCCCTTCAGAAAACAGTGGTGGTTACCAGTATTGTCAACGAAATTTCTCTCATACTGTGGTTTGAAGTCATTTAAGGTAGAACCTTGTCACCATTCACATTTCATTCATGTGTTCATTCAACAAACGTGCATTTAGCACCTGTCCTGGTCAGGCTGAACAGAGGGGTGGGGAGGAGGGGATACAGAGATGAACAAAAGACACTCCTGTCCCCAAGAGTTCCAGCCTGGTGAGCAAGGCCAGGTCCTGCACAAAAGGTCGCCAAAGGGCAGAGGCCCAGAACCATGAGAGAGATGAATCTGGTGTTCGGGCAGTACCTAGGCAGGAAGGTGGAAGGATTGCCAACCAGGGTCAGGGAGAGCATTTGATCTGGGCTTGGGAGACCTAGAGGGGACAGTGTGGTGCTTGGACAGTGGTGGCCACCAGGCTAGATCTGCAGTCTGAAGTCCCACAACCAGAAGAGGAAAAATCTGAGGGAGCCAGGAGAGGTGACTGCTGGATCCAGCCATGCCCTTGAGGGATACTTTGGACAGGTCTCTTGTCACAGCTGCTGGTCCAGCAGGACCCAAGGCTGACCTTGCCTCTCTCTCCCCCTGCAGACTGTGAAAGGAGGGTTTTCTGAGACGAGGATCGAGAAGCGAATCATTATTACTGGGGACGAAGATGTTGATCAAGACCAGGTATGGGAATGAGGAACGCTACTCCCAGTGGCACTGCCCAGTCCCCCATCCCTGCCATATTGGGTTACTCATGGATGGTTACCCTTGTGGGCTAAGAAGATGTACACTTTCTGCCCATCCTATCTAGACAAGGGGCCCCCAAGGAAAGGACATTGAATGGGATTCAGGAGGAGCCAGAAGACTCAGGCTCTAGTCTCTTCCTTTAATTCTTTGACGACTGCCCCTCCCTGGGCCTCCTGTTTGCAAGCTGTGCAGTAGGCGGCTTGTTGGTCTCCATAGTCTCTCGTATTTGATATTCTGTGGTTCCTCACTTTGCTGCTCTTTCCCACCAGGCCCTGGCTTTGGCCATCAAGGAGGCCAAACTTCAGCATCCGGACATGCTGGTAACCAAAGCTGTCGTATATAGAGAAACAGACCCATCCCCGGAGGAGAGGGACAAGAAGCCACAGGTAAGGCTCAGGAGGTTCAGTAGCGGTGAGAGGGAGGAGGGAACTGTGGCAAGGTCCTCTGAGCGTGGTTTCCATCAGAGAACCCACCCTGTGGCTTGGTCCCTGTCACAGCTCTGACCCCCCCACCCACCAGACATCATGAATAACAGTGGGGCAGAAGCCTGGTTCCTGGGTTCTTTGGGGTTTAAGGCCCTAGACCAGCCATGGGCAAACTACGGCCCGCGGGCCGGATCCACCCCATTTGAAATGAATAAAACTAAAAAAAAAAAAGACCGTACCCTTTTATGTAATGATGTTTACTTTGAATTTATATTAGTTCACACAACCACTCCATCCATGCTTTTGTTCCGGCCCTCCGGTCCAGTTTAAGAACCCATTGTGGCCCTCGAGTCAAAAAGTTTGCCCATCCATGCCCTAGACCCAGTAAATCAGAAGTGGTAGGAAAGGGGAGACAGGATTGTCAACGGGTACTGAGGTGGGACATCTGCAGTAGTTAGCACAGTGCCTGGCAGTTAGTAAGTGCTGGATAGAAGTTAATTATGACTATTATTACTATTAACTCAAAGTAGGCTAACAAAATGCTGCTCATTCGGACTCTGTGGCAATAATCCAAGAAGAATAAATGCAAATGGCACACTTTAGGTGTCCCCGGTACTTCTAAAGGCATCCCATGGAGCCAGAATCCTGTTTACATTGTATTAGTCGGTGAGCAAACTTAAAATACAAAACCCTCAGGACACAGCAGAATTGAGCAGAAGGAACACAGCCAGGCTTTGGCGCAGAAACACCTTGCCAGCAGCGTGCCCAGGTGAACTTCCCTGGGCCTCGGTTTCCTCATCTACAAATGGGAGCTCATCTCTAAAGTGGAGCTGCTCTAATAATTAAACAACATCTGTGGCTCTTAGTTTGAGCGGCTACAACAGAATACCACAGACTGGGGCCTTAAACGACGCACATTTATTTATCACGGTTGTAGGAGCTGGACAGTCCAAGGCCAACGTGTTGGCCAGCTCATTTCCTGGTGAGAGCCCACTTTCTGGTTTTCAGACAACTGTCTTCTCAAAACTATGTAACAGGTGGCATGTCGTTCTTGCCTTTTTTCACTCACAGATGGTCAAGGGCTAATAAAGTCATGTAAATGCGATCCTCCTCTGTTTCTTTTCCAAGATGGAAAACCTGAGGTCCAGGTTCCGTGACTTAACAAGTTGATTAGAGCCCAGGGCTCCTGCTTTGGAACAGGCCAATTTGGAACAGGCCGCATGGCTGAGAGCAAAGATAATCTCTCTCTCGTCTCTTCTTACAAGGGCACCATTTTCGTTCATGAGGACTTCACCCTTATGACCTCCGGTCCCACCTCCAAATGCCCTCTTCTTGAGGATTAGGGCTTCCATAAGTGAATTTGGGGGCAGCATACCAGGGCGGTGTCTCGCAGGCAGAAGGTGCGTGGCCGTGTGGACCTGCTTCCTTTTCCTGGAGGTTTTGCCATGTTTAGGGATGAGGGTCCTGAGTAAGTCAGACCGTAACCCTCCACCACCAGCCAGGTGCCCAGGGCCCTGTTCCCACCTGGGTTTCCATCTTGCTGGCCTTTATCTTCTCTCCCCAAATCCTCCAGAGACATCTCTCTGCTCCATTCTACTTGGCCCCTTTCTGGAAGTTCTTCCTTCTTAAAGGTCTTGCTGTGAGTATGGAAAGCACACTTATCCCACATAGTCTTCTCTTTTCTCTGCAACCTCGCAGGCCAGATGTGTGGCTTCTGCTCCATGATCTCCCACTGGCCTGCCTCCTTCCACAGGGCCTGTCTCTCAAACCCCGCCAGCCAGAGGGTGGCACTTACCCAGCGCCCTAGAGCTTTCTTACTTACAAAATTTTAAGTAAATGGGGAAAAAATAACTGGCCTGTTCCAAAGCAAGGAGCTCTGGATTCTAATCAACTTGCTAAGTCATTGAACCTGGGCCTCAGATTTTCCATCTTGAGAAAGAAACTGAGAAGGATCGCATTTATATGACTTTATTAGCCCTTGACCATCTGTGAGTAAAAAAAGGCAAGAATGACATGCCACCTGTTACATAGTTTTGGGTAGTTGCTATGTTCAGGGCATTTTGCTGGGCATTGGAAAGACGGCAATAAGTAAAAGACAGTCCTTGTCCTAAAGGAGATCAGAATAGCATGTGGTTACATTAACAACAGCAACACTAATAACAAGAACAGCCTGTATTTATTTAGCACTTTATGCTGATCCTTGTTTTGAATCCTACTTATAACTAAGGCAGTTATACGCAGAACCCATTTTACAGAGGAAGCAACTGAGGCCTAAAGAGGTTAAGAAACTTGTGCAGAGCTAGTGGGCTGTAGAGTGGGATTTGAACCGGGATTCGGGATTGCAGAGCCCATGGCCTTAACCACTACATTTTGAAGTCACACCTGAGTTGGGATCCTAGGCTCCAGTTTCTTTATTTAGCACTGCACTCTGGGGTTTAATCCCCAGGGCACAGCGGGCCCAAGGAGAACAGAAAGAAAAAAATCAAAAGAAGAACATGCCATCACGACTAAACATTTCTTAGAACTGAGAGGTGATAGGAGGAAAAAGTGAACCGAGTGTGATATTAGCCTCTCGGTGTTAAAGGAAACTTGGACAGATTTTCAGGCCAAAGGGAAAGATACCACTTCCCTGGAAACAAACAAGCAAACGTACATGGGCCTTGGAGTCTGACAGATGTGGGTTCAGTTCTCAGCTGCTACTCGCAAGCTACCTGGCCTTAGACAAGTCTCTGTCTTCCTGAGCCATAACAAAGGGCCCACGGTAAAGGCTCCCTAAAAACGACCTTGCCATGTATTTGCAGGTGAGTGACAAAAAGTTACTAACTTTTCTTATCCTCCTCCTTCCTTTGTGTCCCTCCCCGCCCCACCCTCACAACAACGCTGGCTTCAGGAATCCTGACCTCAATGAAGAGATGCTGGCGTTTCTGGTCCAACTCAAGCCAGAGAACCATTAAGAAGGGGCCTTCATTCTGGATTCTCCGAGTCAACACCGACGTCCCAGCTGCGACGTACTGTCACTGATGAGAGACTGGGAGAGGAAAAGCAAATATATATATATATATATATAGATATATATAGATATAGATATATATACAGGAAACACTGCATCCTTGCACTGCTTCTGGGGCTGGCCGGGCAGTCGGCCAACAGCAACAACCAACATCTGAACACCTACATTTCCTTTGCAGACAAATTGAAGAATTGGTGGGATTTTTTCAGGAAAAAAAATTATAATGCCAATAATCCCTCGCTATCCCCTTCGAAGGCCTGCGGAGCAACGCGAGCAAGCAGCCCAGGATGACTGCAGGGATGCAGCACCGACTGCGCAGCACATCCGGTGGACGGACCTTCCGTTTGTTCTCCAGTGTCTGTTGCTCATGCAAGTGCAAAGGAAAACCCTTTTGCAGCAAAGCGAGACACGTTGAAGCAGCAAGACAGACACACAACGAGAAAGAAAAGACATTTCCCACTTGGAAAGGAGGAGGAGGAACACTGGATCATTATTTTATGGGTCTTGACACTGGGCTGCAAAATCCACCTTCCTTTCTTCCGCCTCCCCTCCCCCTCACAAGTCTTGTCGTCATTTTCCGTCTCGACTCCCTCCTCCCAACCCTGCACCCCTTGCCCTCTGTCTGGGTCCTGCTGAGGGCCACTGCAGATGACTCATTTGAAACAAGAAAAAGAGAAGAAAGCAGGGACGGAAAACCATGCCGCAGGAAGGGAAGTAGACACTGTATGTTTATGGTTCTCATTACGAAGGTGCAGCTTGTAGGAGATTTGTATGGATGTGCTTTTAAGTTATGTATATGACATATAACGGGAAACAAATATTGAAATAAACAGTGCTGGTAAGTATGAAGCTGACAGTTTAAAATTATGATTATCTGACTGTGATTGATGTATCCCAAGGTTCCTAGATCTCACTGAACCGGCCCAGCCCAGGAGGCCTGGACTCTGGCTGTGGGCTGCTCACAGTAGGAGCTGCTGGGTTCAGTGTAGTAATTCAGTGTGTGATATTTGTCATTGGTTGATTGGTGGGGAGGGGAGGGGTCCCCGAATGGAGAAGCGGGGGTTTGGCAAGAAGGAAGCAACACAGCTGTGGTCCAAGATGCCTTCTCCCCTGGGCAGTAGCAACCAGGGCCTGGTCCGTGCTCAGATGTGGGGCCCAGAGTTAGGATTTTGCTGCGGATCCCCTGGCCCAGTCCCCCTACCTCCCTAAGGGGGCTTGTCTCTGTTCTCAGTCCTCTGGGGTTTTTTTGCCACATATCTTGCCTTTCCCTGACCAAATCCTGGTAGCTAACTCCCCATCCCAAGGTGGGTGATGCCCTTGGCCACTGCAGAGGATGGTAGCTTTATCCGGCTGCCTGAAAACTCCCAGCTCGGTCTCTTCCTCTACCACTCCTGTTCTCTGTTTGAGTCATTCTCTTCTTCCTGGGCTGAAGCAGCCATGGGAGCGACCCCAAACACAGGGTAGGCCTAGGACAAAGCTGAGGACGAAAGGTGGTGCTGCTCACAGTCTCCATCCACGTGTTAGACCCTGGCTTTGGAGACCTCCCCTTCGGTCAGCATCTGAGCTCTGAGCCTGTGCCCTCAGAGTCCCAGAAATTGCCTCAAGACCACAGAAGCCCTTGGAGAAAACCCATCAAAAGCCTGGCATTGACACACAGGGGTTTTCCCAGGCTCTCCTGGCACAAGCTGGCCCCCTGAGCTCAATGAGTCCCCTTCTGAGGGAGTGTGTCCCACTGCACTTCAACGTATCAGTCCCATCTCACCTCCCCAGGCCTGTTTCTGAAGCAGTTGATAAACTCACTCAGCAAATATATATTGAGTACCTGCTTGTGCCAGGCACTGTTCTTGGATTGAGAGAAGGTGGGGCACATGGAGGCACCTGGGAAGCCCCCTGAGCCAGCCTTACATTTCTAACCAGGGCTGTCTCTCTCAGAGCATTTCTGCATTCTCTCCAATTATTGGACGTTGCCCACGGATGCCCTCCAGAGAGCCCAGGCTTATCAATTACTCCAAGGATAAATACGTTTAGCTGCTTTGGTGCTGACCTGGGACAGAACAAGAAACCAGAATAGTGTGCCTCTGTGGACACAAATGGGATGGAGAGAGGGCAGAGAGCCCTGAGCCTGGGCATCCCATGGCAGAATCAGTCACACACACCCCCAGAGCAGGCCCGGGGGCTGCTCCAGCTCCCCCTGAGTGCGACAGCACACTTGCCGTGCACCAAGCTTCTTTTTACATTCCTGATACGAAGCCCTTTTCAACCTGAGAGCTCCCATTCGTTCTGGGCCAAAAGCTGGTGTCGCCCCACCCTCTCTGGCTCACCCAGAATTTGACTCAGGCACCCCGTCTTTGCCGGAACCAGGCATCCTGAACACACTTCAGAGGGAGAATTATTTTTTTCTGGGTTCTCCACCTGCCTACAGACCCTGGGTGTGTGGCTTCAGGGCAGGGATGAAGTGACCAGGCTGAGCTCATGGGCCAGTGGCGTTTGTGGAGATCTCTACCCCACCAATGCGCTGACCTTCCTTCCACGACAGTCAGTCAGTGCCCCCAGGGAGGAGGGGAGCTGCAAGCTAAATCTAGGGCACTGTTTCCTCCCCATGCGCCTCTTCACAAAGAACATCGACGTTTGTCTTGTCTGTCGTCAACCTACTTTTCCTTTTTACTTTTTTCTATTTCTCATTCTTTCTGTGCTGCCTCTCCACCCCAGAGACCATGTAGCATAGTGGAGAAGGCCCAGAGGGCGGGCAGGGGTGCTCGTGGCCATCCTGGCTTGGTGCCTGGCTCGCCATGTGCCATCGAGCTCGTCTGGGCTCTCCTGGGGCCTCGGTTCCCGTCGCACTTGTAAAAGGACGCGGATAAGCCAGATGCTCTCCAGGGCCTTTTCTGCTCTGTCATCCCACAGACTTCCATTTTACTTTGCTTTCTCTGGATCTTTTCCATCTGAGAGGACAGGAAGTTCCAGGACCTGTTTCGGGTTTTGAATCCTGCAAGCACATTCCAAGACTGGCCTGAAATTGCATGAGCAACATCACTCTAATTTTTTTCCCCCCCAAAAGCACCTTACCAAACAACTGCAATGCTGTCCTGCTCCTTTTTACTCACACCCCTCTCTCTTCTCTGGTCCCCACGCTCCCCCACCTCAGTGCTCCGTGCTGTATGCGTGTGCTCTCTGTTCTTGTATACTCAATAAAAGTGAAATAAATGTGTTTGATGCTCAACCACAAACTGCCTTGGTGATTCTCTCTCTCTCTCTCTCCTCTTCACTTTCTCTCCTCCCCTCCCCCTGGACTACCAGTACAAGTGGGCATTGTGAGAAGGGCTACAGTTGGAGGTGAGCGATCCCAACACTTTCATTTTACTAATATTTGCAGCTCTGAATGTGGCACAGGTCTTGCATTAGGCTTTGCAATAAGGCAAAGTCCCTGCCCTCCAGGAAGTCACAGGCTAGTGGAAAAAACAGGCAAGCAGTCAGAGACAGTTCCTGAGTGATCAGCACCAGGAAGGAAATGCAGAGTGGGTCGCTAAAGGAGACCGCCTTAAATAAGGCAGTCAATCATGGCCCCCTGGGGAAGTTATTTTTGAGATGAATGAAGAGAAATATCCAGTGAGGTGAAGATCTTGGGTGAGAGCATTCTAGGCAGAAGGAACGGTAAGGATGTGGGCCACAGGACACAGCGGGGCTTGTGTATGGAGAGACAGCACGGTCCCACTTCCTCTTCCTGAAAAAAGAGCACCTACATCTGGGTCTCCCTGCAAATCTCTCCATGGAAGCCGAGTGGATAGTGTAGACAGCA